GATTCAATTCCACCAATTTTGCTTTTGCCATAGCCCATTATTGTTTTATTGGGCCCAAGCCCAAAATAGTTGAAGCTTAAAATTGTCTCTAGGTTGCATTACATTGATTTAAGAAAGAAAAACAAATCTTCCTTTGACGATCATAATAGAATGTGTTTGAGAAAAGCTAGACATTTTACGAAATACCATAGTACTATATTACGGTTTTTTTTTATCAGTAGTTTACTAATTAATTAATAGATTGAGCAATCCAAATCGATTGTACAACATTTACATAAAAGATATCATACATAAAGCCAATATATCCTCCATTGTGTTTCTAAAATATGGGATACAGAAGAGTTAGAGAAAACTCTAGAAACTCTATTTTAGTCATTATTTCGTTATTATACCACTGTTTCATTTTAGTCATTGTTCCATTAACATTGGCTAATCGGATTTTGTTTAAGGTCTATTTCGGCACATTAGATGTTAGTTGAGGTATTAAATTTGAATTAATTTTGAGTTCGGGTTGAGATAAACCATATGTAAAAGTTCAAATCTAAAAGTGCACGACGGAAAAAGTTTGGATCCAAATTTGTAAGCCCAGCAGAATGGGCTTTATGAGATGCATTCTTGTTTTTTAATGACAAAAATGTCATTCTTCATATATGACGAATATGCATGCATGAAAATCTTTAATTTATAGGCAATTAAATATCAATTATTAGTTCAAATGTCAAAATAATGCATATTTCTCTATTGATTTAAAATAACACCACTCGAATAAATAAATAAAAAGATAATTCTCAAAAATATCACACTTTAAAGTTTTGCTTCTAAAAATACAACAATTTTTCAAAATTTTCAAAATACCAATATTTGTTAAATGTTCCAAAAATACCACAAAACTAAAATTAACTTTCAACATCCAAAATTAAACCCTAACCATTGTATCCAAGCCCTACCCCCTAAAACTATACCCTAATTTTTACAATAGTTAACCCAAATCCAAAATTTTTAAATTATAAACCCTTGAAAATCAACTCTCTTGTGTTTGTGGTATTTTGGGACATTGAATAAATAATGATATTCTTAAAAATTTTTGAGAAATTGTGGTAATTTTTAAAACAAATTTTCAAATTGTGGTATTTAAAGGAATTCGTCTAAAAAAACTCTAGGTAACATGGTATAGTTTTATCTTCTTTTGTCTTTGTGAAACTTTCTCTACCATTTTAAATCTCGATGTGTATATCTTGCCAACAATATTCGTACCCCAAATTATTATACTTAACAGAGATCCAATGTCCTCACCTTACACCATTTGCATTTCTTTGAATTTTTCTTCGCCAACCACCATTTGCATTTCCAAATTTTGATACCCAACAAGTTTTCTTATCAGTTTGCTTACTTGCTTGTAAATGCCACAAAAGACAAGTTCTCCGATATTTTTAAAATAAATTTGATGAATGATATACAATTCTTTTTTGAAACGTAGTTCACAACATTCATTAAAAAAAAGTAATGTTTTCCAAAAGTATCTTTGCCAACGGTAACGAGAATTATCGATGGTTCGGCCATTGACGCTTTCAGAGATCCATTTTATATTTTAGACGGATTAATTTTTTTTTTTTTTAAAAACAAAAAACATCATTAGTCAATTAAAATCAACGTGTTGGAAAAAAAAATCAATTAAAACCGTTGTTATAGCGTTTTCATAATTATTTTTTTAAATCTCTATATAACTGTATATCCATTATTAGAGACGCTTTGAATATTTATGGGAAAATCGCATTTTTAACCTTCAAAGTTAGATTTACTAGCAGTTTAAACCCTGAGAGAATTTCACTAGCACTTTAAACCTCCAAACTCCAAACACTAACACTTTAAAACTTTAACCTTGCTCTCGAGTTTGCGCCGACAAAAAAAGTACCGGAACAGTAAACGTCGTTACGGAACAGTAAACGGCTGTTATGCTACGAAACATTTGCCGTTAACTATATTTAATTCTTAATTAAAACAGAATTTAGAAAAAAAAACAAATAAATTGTTTTTATTAAAACAAAAATAATTTTCTTAAATT